GGCCATGATCTCGACCAGTTGCAGGCATCGCTGGCCTGTGTTAAGTCAATCCGTGCAGGCCGTTCTCAGATCTTTGCAATTTAGCTTGCTTGCAGCAATCAGATCAAGACATTCATGACGTTGAATCAAAGATTGGCTCAATGACAGTGTGTGACGGCTGACATGTCATCCTTAGTCTTAATTTAGTATTAATATCGGTTATAAAATAGTAAGGCTGATGAAGTACAGTGTTGACAACTCGTCTTGAGTCTTGTGTGAGTTTGAAGTTTAGGTGAGGATTTGTAACTGTAGCTTTCAATCTGGATTGCGGTCATGCGATTATTGACGAAGGATGGTAAACCGCTAAACTTGGAAAATGATCCAAAACTGCCAATAAGAGCAGCTTGGCTCAGTCAGGGTAACATTTGGTGGCGTGTGGACTTGCTTTTCGATGAGCTGAAAAAACATGCCGAAGAACATCGAAAGTACCAGAAATGGTTCAAGTTCTTCAAAGACCAACTTGGGAAGACGTCTTTGATGGCTGGGCCTGGTGGTTTGGATTCACATGTGTACAGTCCAAAAGGCAGAGTGCCAGATTCAAATGCCGTGCAGGACGACTTGGTATCTTCCCAAGGCTTGGTAATGTTCTTCTTTCAATCATGCTTGGTTACGAGGTCAGACGCCCATCGAGACTTCTTCAGGACAAAATTGGAGAATGCCACGACACGTGTGTGTCAAACCATCGATGATAATCAGCCTCTCGAGATCCACTTGGATGAAGGCAGAGTGCCGTCATGGTTTGTTGCATCAACTGGGCTGGTTTCAGGCTTTGCTGCTTGGGTGATGAATGCGCTGCACCTCTACACTTCCCGATCAATGTGTGGTCTTTGGGAAGATATGTTCCGTGAAGGCACGCTGACTTCATCTCTGCGAGATGACCAGGAAGGCAGAGTGCCAGAGGAAGGCAGAGTGCCAGCAAATGTTAAAACACCCATCAAGGACATCATTGTCTTTGCAAGCATGGCCAAAGATCACAGAACGAGGCGGCAATCGGACAAACCTCATCCACTGGCCAAGACAGTTTTGACAGCCATACTCACACTGCATAAATTCCTGTCGGAGTTCCTGTCTCTCGGCCTCGAGTTCTATGTCATCAAGGACTACATGGCTGACCATGATACCGGTTTGGCAGTCAAGGTTCGGAAGGGAAACGTGGGCAAGCGAGTTCCAATACAACACACTCTGGAAATCAAGAGCATCTGGAACTTGATGGAGGCGGCTGCAAAAAGTGGTACCTCTTTGCGACAAACCCTGATTGTGAAGCAGCATGACGAACGCAGCGACTTGCATGGTTCCTCTCTCTGCCTTGGATACATTTTTTTTATGTTAGTTAGTTAGTTAGTGATTTCGGGTTCTGAGGAACAGACCTGAGCCTTGAACCGTGATCTAAGTTCAAGCTTGAAATGCCCTGCCCACAATCCTTGGACACCGTTGGCCGGGTGTCGGGCTTGAGTTAGAGTGTGTCAGGCATCGGGACCGCCATGGCGCCAATGTGCCAGGGCTGTGGCCCATGACATCCGGACACATGGGCTAACGTGCTGGGTGAGGTGGTCCAGAGTTGTGGCATTCTCTCGAATGACGAGCTGGTTTGCTTCAGAGAATCCGAAGCAACGCAGCTCGCCATTCGAGGGAATGTCAACACGAGAC